GGAACCAAGAGAGCCCCTAAGAGAGTCGCGAGAGGCTTGCAGATACCTCTGAAATAACCCAAGACAGCCCCGAGAGCTACCCGAAGAAAGCCCCGAGAGGTCAGAATCATTGATGTTCGATTGGTTTGAGTTGGCGTTCTCGCCTTACCGACCTCCCCACGCTCTCCAAGAGCTCTCCAAGAGCGCCCCGAGACGGCCCAAGGGACCTACAAGACGGCCCAAACTGCTCCAAGAGGGCGCCCAGACGGAGGACCCGAACGGACACTTCGAGCCGTCGGCCTCAAGAAGCCCCAAAGAGGCTCCAAGCGGCCCCCAAGAAGCCCCCAAGAGGCCCCAGGAAGTCCCGAGGAAGCCCCAAGACACCCCCAAGAGGCCGCCAAGAGGCTCCCAAGAGGCCTCAAAACTACTCCCGAGAGGCTTCCGAGAGCCCTCCGAACAGACCAGCGAGAACTCTCACCCACAACCCAGGCACGGTGGCGGGATGGGCCAAAGGGAATCAGATCCGCCGCCCCCCGTGCTTGTCAAAGGGGTGCCTGGCGTGCTGTATCCTTTCAGTTTGGGTTTTGGTTCTTCTTCCGAGAGAACTCTCCCATGGGGCTTCGACTCGCCCCGCCGGCCACGCAGAAACTGCGCTAGTCAATGCCTTTCACGCCCAAGATGGCCCCAAATGGACTCCGAAATGCCTCCAAGACGGCCAAGATGGCCCAAGATGGCCCAAGATGGCCTCTAAGACGACCCAAGAGGGTCCAAGATGCCTCCAGGTCCGCCCACGACGCCTCTAAGACGACCTGCTAATCTCAGGGCCTGTTGGGCCCATTACGTGTTCAGGCATGTGTATGCTACTCGTGCGTGTGTAGAATGTGCGTGTTGATGCTGCAGCATTCTGGCTTGCCACAAGAGTGGAAAAGAGGGTGCGGGTGCCCCCTCCTCGGAGCCATATCTGCATTGGTAGTGCGGAGCGTGCCGCGCGATAGCAGGTGCTGTCGCACAGGGCGGCACTCGGGCGAATGCCGGCGGGACGCGAGAAGGCGATGAACACGGACAGTGGAGGCCCCGGCGGCGCGATCAGGAGGTTCGCCGGGACAGGAGCCGACGCATCTCGGGATTACAGATCCTGGAGGAAGTGGGCGCGGGCGTACCTCATCGTGCAGAGGTCGAAGGGACACCTGCGACGGCCCAAGGGCCGATGCTCTTTACGCTCGTAGACGACGTCGCCGCCCGGGCGCTGGAAGTGGTCGACGTGGCCGACTTGGAGCAGGAGGGCGGCGAGCAGCAGCTCTTCAAGACACTCGACTCACGGTTCCCCGACGTGGCTGCTCACGATGGGCTTGGAGAAGCGCTGAAGGAGGTGTTCACGATTCGCCTGACCAAGGGCGAGTCGATGGCGGCGTACTGCGGGCGCGCCCAGGCGGCGTTCGCCAAGGGCGAGGCCGAGGGCGTGGTGCTGCCGGACATGGCGCGCGGTTACCTGCTGCTGCTGGGGGCATCCCTGGCACCACAGAACCTCGCGGTCGTCCTGGCGGCCTCGGGACGATCGTATAAGGAGAAGGATGTGGCAATGGCGCTCTGGACGACCTACCCCAACGGCACGGCGGACTTCGGCCAGCAGTCGAAGGCTTTCGGCGCTCACGTGGCGGAGGAGGCCGACGAGAGCGAGGACATTTCGGACATTGCGACGCTGCTGGCGGGCTACGACGCGGCTGAGGTCGTGGAAGAAGGGGACGTCCTGGACGAGAGTGAGGCCATCGAGATTCTGGTGTCGTGGCGAGACCAGCGGAACCGGATCTCGAAGGAGCAGCTAGCCCGGGGCTTCGGCCCCAAGAAGCTGGACATGAAGGCCATGGCGAAGAAAGTGAGATGCTACAACTGTGACGAGGTCGGCCATTTCAGTCGGGACTGCACTAAGCCTCGTCGACAACACCGCGAGACCAAAAGGGGAAGGGCAAGAACGGCGAGAAGCGCGGAGACGTAGTCACGATCGTCGAGAGTGACTCCGACGAGGGCGTCTTTGTGGTGGACGACGAGGAGAGCCTCGAGTGTGACCTGTGTGAAAGTGAGTACCAGCAGCCCCTGAATGACGACGAGGGTGGCTGCAGTGACGAGTGCGACTGCGAGCTGGCCGCTGACGAGGACGGTAACGACGATCAGGACGTTGACGGGCTATGCGAGGCGTACGCGGCGGTGCGGGACGAGATGGATGACGTGATCGAGGAGTACCGCAGGCTGACGGCAGACACCGAGGAAGAGGAGGTCTACCCGGAGGCGCTGATCGCGTCAGCGCACGAGCCGGGCTCTGGCGTGGTCGAC